AAGCGGATTACAGGCATTATCCGGTAAGATAGAGTTTCCGATGGGGGAGCACGAAAGCCGCACGCCGAAAAAGATAATCTTGGGATCTAGATGCGGGAACTTATGCACCCTGAAACATCAACCTACCCGATGACGCGTGAATGTACGTTGATGTAGAGGGATCCGGGGAAAGTAAGGAAAGAAAAGGGGTATGTGACGATTTGGAAGAGAGGAGGCTAGAGCAGGTACTTTGTGTAAGGATAAGGAGGGTGCAACTCTCAACGGTTTCAACGGGCCGATTTCAAGTTAAACACTTGAATGGGAGATAGTGAGATGTAGAGCGCAAGATTTGTGAGAAATAACTTGAGATTTTTGGGTAGGCGAGTACGAGATTCACATCTTTCTTTCTCCCTTCCTCTTTCTCTTTTTTCTGCCTTCTTCCATCCTTTCCGAAAGAAATCCTGATTCTTTCTTCACCATCGCTGTAAATAGAGAATCTCTCGGTCTGACCGTTGCCGTCATCGCTCACCTTCAGGATGTGTTTGATTTTGGCTTTCGGCTCCAGACAGTTCAAGTGGACGGTTAAGTACATTGACAATCTCACAAATCCATCACGTAGTAGAAATTCGGCGCTTCCTATGAAGTCTTGAGGTCTTTTTCACGACGGAATCTCCTTTTTCAAAGCCGCTACTTAAAAATTCTATTGCAATTTGCAATAATATTTACCATGCTGTGATAGTAAATTTAGAATGTGTACTCTCAATACAATACATTTATCATTACTATTGTAAATAAATTTTGCACTTTCTGAAAAAAGTTTAATACAGCAAATACTATTCATTATTTTTAAATTTCAGATAAAAAAATACAAATGAGAGTAACAAAGTTACGAGCGTTATAAGATATTAGGCGCAAGACAAACCCGTCTCGCTCGATTTTCTTTTTTGTTCTCTTTTTTTTACAAATGTTTCTGCAGTTTGCATAACTCGTTGGACCAAATCGTATGTCCGCTACTTTATCGCTTCGGAGACTGGTTTAGCTACCGTTTCTTCACATCGTCGTTTTGCGCGCGGACTCGCGATTATGGCCATTAGAGGGATAAGAAGTCGGTATGATAATAAATACGATGAATAGCAGTGTATGAGCGTGTATTTGACAGTGTTTTTTTTTTCTTTCTCGTATGGCGGCACACATTATTAGAATTCGCAGTACATATGCGATTTAAGTTGGAATGTTATATTATTGCTAGTTGCTGCCGGACGTGCTATGCTCGTTCGTAATAGGCTGCTGCACATCGTAAATAGGGCAAGTGTGTGCGTGTATGCGAGTGTGTGTGTGTGTGTGTGTGTGTGTATGTGTGTGTGTGAGTGTGTGTACGTGTGTAGCTTTCGCGCTACGATGATTAACGCAGCGCAGCGCGAAGGCGCGATCGAAACCGATCTAATTTCTCGTCCCGAGTGCGACGGTCGTTGAACGTCGGCCAGTTACGAAAGTGGCTCCCGGTCCTTCTCGTAGAAAAATCTCAGTTCGGCTGATTGGCCGTCGTCCAAAGCGCGACGCACCTGCAAAGCCCGATCTCTTCCTCTCAGTCATCCCTTTCGAAATGCGCACACGAGCAGAGCACGGCCGGGGGTACATTGACACATCGATTTAGTAGGTAACGGGTGGGCCTCTATATTACAACGCGAATTACAGTGTAGAATATCATCATCGTCGTCGTTCGTTATACAACAATCATCGTAATAATTATTATCATCGTTTCATTGTTATCGATCGTCATCGGGTGTGCCTAAGACAAGTCGGTATTAAATATCTTACAATACACATCTTTCATATATTTTTATTTATATATATAATATTTATATTTTACCTTTCTTTTTTTTATTTAGTATGTATACTATCTATCTATAGGAGAGGGGAAAGGGGTAGTCAGATTCATCTCTTGTGTTCTATTCGTTTCGTCTGCCGTTTTTCTGATTCGTCGATGGTGAGAAAGTAAAAAAAAGGAGAGGGTGTAAGGCTATGGGACGGGCGGTGTGATGGTCTGCTCGTAATCGAGTCACGCGGTGATAAGATGACCGCAACGTCATGTGTGACGTTAACAGAGCTTAAATACCGAACAAAAATTTTCGCCAATATAAAAATATACAAACTAGACGACAACAAACAATCGACGAAATTTTCTTCGAAAGTAACTCCGAGATGGCTCGATTACGAGTAGTTCGATGAGGTCGCGAGAGTGACGCTGGTCGGGAATCGCATGCGCTTTTCATCTTTTTTTTTTTACACATATATATGTAGAACGACAGAGTCAGTGACACATCTCGCTTTCGAGGAGACTCGCATACTCCATAAAAATTATTCCGTCATTTTTCTCCGCATCGCCGTGAACGCCGCGGTGATTCTCGCTACATGACGCTATGCTTACACATACAAAACGAGTTGGTTAATTTTTAGAGGCGGAGTTATACAATACTCATATTACAATACAATACATATACACGTTAGATTAGTTATCTGTTATTAAATTATAAGCGTCGGATTTTTTATGCCTTTCTCATGGTCATCTGCTGGCGTTTAATTTCTGTTTACACGCGACATCTTATCGTGCTTAGCTTGCACTCGCCACGTGCCGATAACGAATCACCAAACGAAATCGAACTTTAACATAATTAATGAATGATTCGCAGTAAAAACCAAGTAAGAAGAGATTTTCATTGATTATATAAAAATAATGCCGCTTCGTAAAAGGAATTATTCAATCTGTATAAAACGCGTTGCAAAGCTAAATTTTTGATTCGTCGCACGAAACGTGGCGTTACTACGTGCATATTGCTCCCTACATTTTTTAACACACATACAAACATCATCCGTAGGAATAAGCTTTCTTATGCACTGCCACTCGTATGCAATTAAATTAATCAGGTATTGAGTATTTTCAGACTTTGTGTAAAAAGCGTGAATTTTAATAATATATATATTTAAACGAAGTGAAGGGACGCGGAGTAAAAAAAAATATGTTGTTAAGTAAATTAAGTTTATTAAGTAATTAGGATCTTTGAAATGCATGATTTGGATATTACTCCATATTACAGCGATATGATGGAACATTAAACGTAAATGTAACACACTACCAACCATTCTTTATGAAGAATTTGTAACGCGTAGAAAATGTGTTTTCACGAAGAAGATATAAATTATAAATAAGCTAAAAGCCGATGAATTAATAATTAGTGACATCGTACGACCCGCAGTTGTGACATGATGTTGAGCGAAATGATAATTAAGAAACGTGACTGATAAAGAGGGGAAGGGGATGGGAAAAGGGTAATGGTAATGAAAACGATGAAAAGAGAGCAGCGCATATCTTCATATACATATATATACGTACGAGGGCGAACGAAGGGTATTTCGGCTTTCGTAGTACCTAAACGTGATTTCAATAAATAAGCTACCTAGGGAGCGATTTCTTTCTTTCTTTTTTGGAAAGGAGGGGAGAGGGGAAAAAAGGGCAGGCGCTCCTTACGTGGCGAATCTACGAAAATGGACCGCTCCGGGGTGCCTTCCTTGTGCCTGTGAAAAGTTAAAACGGCACGAGAGGTCGACGCTCGGTCGAGAGCTCGATCTCAGAGAATAGAAGCGAAAAATAAGACTGGCACAAGACGTCTTTGCGTAGTAACGAAGAACTCGGCGCCCCTGGTCTCCTTCGTCGAGTCGCCACCGCGTCATATATTCATATACCTAGCCTAATAATACAGTCTGCGATAGCGTTCTAAGGATTAAGTCCATTAACGATAATGCATTATATTACACGCACTCACACGCTTTCCGGAGGCGAAATACGTATGCACGCAAATGCACACAAGTCCAATATACTCGCGTACGCAGACACGCAGTTCTGACCGATTGCCATCGAATCGAAAGAAGAAATATTTTAAGACTTTTGCGTAAAATCGTTGGAAAATATTGCCGACCAAATTTGTATATCGACCGATGTCGTCTTGTATTTGAGAGATAGAGGAACACAGACGAACACTGGAAAAAGTACAAAAATGAAAAACTACATTTTATTCATTTGAAAAAGTATAGAAAAAATACTCTTTATCTCTTGGCATCTCGTAAGAATCTTCTCAAAAATTACATGTACAGCTTTTTGCTGTATCGTTAGCGTAGAGAGCTCTTCTATAAATACAAAAGTAATTTTTTTAAATACATGGCACTTCCAGCCTTGTTTATATCAAACCTTCAAATGTCCCGCATCTGAAACATTTTGTTCCTCCTATTTCAAAGCTACACAACGACATCGTGTTAATTTTCAGAGGTTCCGAATACAATCCCGAATTAAGAATTATGAATTTATTAAAGAAAAAACCCGAAGAGAATTGTCGGTCGGTTCTAAGACTCGGCACGTTCGCAATCGATCGCGCCGCGAGTTTGTGCGTCGGCGGCGGTAAGGCCTGCGTGTACATCGCGAGCACGCACGTACGCACGCAGGCAGGCACGCACACATTATTCATACACGCGAGCAGGCACGCACGCTACGTTAGGCGGCGTAATTAGCACAGCGAGCGAGAGAGTCTTGCGCGGCGTGAGCTCTAACTGCGCAGGCGAGCGTAAGAGTGGCGACGTACGAGCGTCCGCGACGTGACAAATATTTCCTCGCTGGACCAGCGCCGACAGTGTTCCCGCTTTTATTCGCCGAGGATCAAATTCTGATCGTACATTGACGCACGTTATCAATACTAATTATATTTTCGATAATGCATAATTTATTATATCGCAAAGAGTTTGATCAAGCCAAATGAATAAACTGACTTGTTCAAGAGTAACACGAACGATCTGTTAATTTCTTGCAATGATTTTGCAAAGATATGATATTGAATTGAAGATTAAGATTTTATCGTAGGAACAAACGAGTGACGTTTCTTTCCAAATTTAATCTAATTGTGCACCTTGGTCAAATTTTGTATATAAATATCGTTTAAGCGAATTATGTTAATATCTCAAAATTATGTCGGCAATTCTGTATTTCATGATGTATCCAAAAGACGAATTATTTTTGCCAAATAAATTGGGAAACAGCATGTCCGTCGGCGTGCGCCATCCGCGCGGCTCTTTGCGCTACCATCGCGGGCCGGTGACCGCGCTCGAAGCACAGCAGCCGTTCGGTTGCGCTACGATTTCTACGCGATGTGAATTCCTTTGCGTCGCTCCAAACGATCGACCAAGCAATAACGGCTTGAATGAATTTACATAGCCGGCGCGGTGTCGCGCGTTTACCACGACGCGCAGCATCGAAAGAAAGATATTTTCTACTAATTGGCCACGCTTCGTCACGAGATTAAAAAAAGAGAAAGAGATATAGATAGACGGAGAGAGAGAGAGAGAGAGAGAGAAAGAGTGTGAGTAAAAAAGAGACAGAGCGATATTCGTCGCGCGCGCGCGCGCGCGCGCGAATTAAATCCACGAGGAATCAACGATGAGAAAGAAAACGCTCTTATACGTTACGAGGTACATACTTGCCTGAAGAGAGATCAGTCGGGGCAAGTGTAAATCGAACTTAACCGCGTGAAATTGAGATAGCTTCGCCGGCGGGAGTCCATCGCCGATCTTGGACGCTAATCTCGACGACGACACCCGCGTCCTCGCCGCGGGAACATTGCTTCGCTCCGGCGGGCGAAAACGGAAACTAAACGGGCGCAGCTTAAGGCGTGTGTGCTCGGAGCGAGCCGCGCCCGCGCTCTTGATTCGCCGACCGATCGAACGAATACGTGGTGCTTCGAGTCGCGACACACGAGGCGCCGCGCCGTTAAGTGGGCTCCTGACATCCCGACCGTGCGATCCACCAGCGTATTTGGCAGTTCTGATCTCAGGTTCTCACGGGGTACAGAGGAGGCAGTCTTGATCGGCGAGCTCCCACGTGGCTCAATACTTGCTGGCCTCGACGAGGAGGCGGCTCTCATGCCGTCTCCGGGGTCCCGAGTCTACCCCGTCCTGCCGATGCGAGAGATGCTTCCAGCGATTCGAGTGCCGATGGCGATGCGTGGACGTGTGGACGTGCCCCCTCGCACTGTCGGCCTGCAACAGGGAGTTCTTCGTGGCCCTCATCACCGGCGACGGTTTCCTCGAGACGACGTACGGCTCCCGCGGCTCCATACCGCCCATCTCCGCGTTCACCAGGCTGTTGTGGTGGTTTATGTCGGCATGGGGATTGTACTTGATGAAGTTGAAACACTCTTGCCTGCCGTGGGGATTCTTCATCGGCCTACCGAACTTATTGAACCCGATATACCGCGTCCCGTCGACGGCGCTCCTGTACCTCAGATAGGAGCCGTTGTACACCTCGTAAAACTGGCACATCGGTCCCTTCTGTTTTTTCGGCTGCAAATAAACAGTCGACGGTTCACGATATACTACTCGCTATTTCGACATTAATCCTTTGCAGCTCGAAATAATATTACACGCATGGATTAATATTAAATATTTGCCGTAATAATAACATTGACAATTAAATATTTATTTTAAAAGTTCGCAATTATCGTGCAGTTTACATATTACAATTTAAAATGTATAAGACTGCAAAAGATTAAAAGGTCCATTCAAATCTCTTGACTATTATATGAGAGAATAACGCTTTTTCAGAATTCCAAGTCTTAGTGCAAGAATACACGATAAATAAAGTGTTAGCCGATTGTCTTTTATGGAAAGTTGCGTGGTTACATACATGGCAATGTATGTAATCGCGTTTAATGGATATAACACAATTTTAATTGTTTTCCATAAACGACGCAATAATCAGCCAACGTTTTATCTATCATGTGCTCTTGCACACTAAATAAATTAAAACACTAAACTTTAATTATGAAAACTTTAATTATTGCACGTAATTTTTATTACAGCATTCCAAATAAAAATGATTAAAAAACAGTTTAAATGGATTTCAGCAATTTAAACGGTATTTAACACACGATAAATCAAATAAAATTGAAGCTTGTAATATACACTGTAAACGTTGAAACCTTGAATCATCAAACTGTTAATAATCCAATTTCTAAATTATAGTCCCGAGCGTAGGTGATGAATAGAAATTTACGAAGTGCAATTCGAGGCGTTTACCGGCGCGTGTAAATTTTATACCCGCTCACTTGAGATGATGAAGTATGTCTACTAATTGGAAGGCGAGTAATTACCAGGCCGACGAGTTTCCACCGCTTATTGAAGCAAATGTATCGTTGGCTCTTCTCCGCGAAGATGTACAGCTTCCTACTGAAATCTTCCGATTGTGTGGTGAGTTTCTCTGTAACAGACGAAAAGATAGGAAATTTCATTATGCGTTTGAACAAAATCTATTTTAACAAAACAGCTGTATATTACATAATTATATTATATAAAAGATTATTCTTATCAATAAAATTTAGCAAACGATGTAAAAATTGTTTGTAAAATTATTCTCTCCGAGAAAGCAAAAGTACATGCAATTTCGCGTAAGATAATACCTATGCACAAATGCAAGAATTACTTGGAAAAACTCAAGAGACTTCGGTAGAAACTCTTGCAGTTTCTACCAACACGAAGCTTCGATCCCAGAGGACAGGCGACAGGATGCACAAAGCGAACCGTTTTGTGCTTTGGTATGCATGCTGGCATATTTCCGAGAAGAGACCTCGTCGAGGTTTATGGCGCGAGTTGTACCTACAACGACGCTGAGCCCCTCTACCCGGCGCTCTCTTCGGCACCGGCAGAAAAGAAGAAAAGACTCGGCTAAGCCTACCGCCGAGGCTAGTTGGTGCTAATGAAGGAGGCACAGACCGTCCGGTGTATGCTTTGCCACTTAGCGGATCCTGTCGTGCCTCGACCCCGAAGTGCACGTTGCACCATAGCCGGTGCAGCGCCGTCTCGCTGTCTCTTTCTCTGTCCCTCCGTTTCCCTTTATCCTTCCTACTTGGTGTTACGAAATTTTGTCGAGCGAGAAGCAGGCACCCTTTGTCCGCCGAATGAAAAAAAAAAAAGGATCAGGTACAGGTGCGCGACCGATGACTTCCTTTTTTTTCTTTCTTGACACGAGAAATATTCACCAATGTACTTGTTACTGTAACTCATTGCGAGAACTGGGTCAGTAGCGATACATTAAATCAATTTCTTTTTTATTCTCTTTATTTACGACAGAGAGGATGTTAATGGTGTAATATTTTTATATCCCTTATTTCGCAACATAAATTTACGACTTTATGTCATAAGTAATTTGAAGGTACTCACTCGTTATATTAAAATAAAAAATAGTTCATAATAGTTAAGGAATAATTAATTGCGCATGTTAATAATGAACTGTACTTAATAAAGAAAGAATCGAAAAATGCAAAAATTTTGTCCTTTCGCTGACAGGTTTGTCTAAAGTTGATCGTAACGTTTCTCGGAAACTTTGTGACGGCGCAATTTTAAAATCGAGTGTTTATTCATAGGTTAGTAGTGCAGCATGAGTTCCAGTAGAGAAAATAAAGGAGGCGAGTCTGCAGAGTGGCCCATTTGCCGTGGAACCTCGTTAAATTCAAGTGGTCCTCGTCGGATTCTCTTCCAACATCGAAATCAAGAATGTCCCCGAACTGCCTCGTAAAACCCTTTTTCAGCTCCGTCTAATTCTCTCTCTCTCTCTCTCTCTCTCTCTCTCTCTCTCTCTCTCTCTCTCTCTCTTGTTCTCTTTTACTTGTTCTCTTTTACTTGAGCCTCTTTCTCGCCTTGCACGGATCCTCGCCAATAAAAAAAAAGTGAGAAGCAGAGAACTTAATCTCAAACTGCTATCTCACTAGCCTATGGTGTGTAGTCCGCGCCAATTAATTGTACCACTTACGCTAATTAATTGGGTTTGCCTCGCAATGGGATGTTGAGTTCGATAGTATCATTAAAGAGAAACCATTGTTTTTATCTATCATTTGAATCGAAGTAGTCCAAGTGAGAAATACATATATGATTACGCACCCTTTAACGTGGCGATCGATAGATTTTATGAATATTGATGCATCGATTGGTAGATAGCAATTATTGAAATATACATTTCAAGAGCACTTATTATTGAATAATTAGCCATAAATTACGCAATCATTTTACAATTTAAATAAGCGATAAATACACAACAACACAGTGTATACACAACACAAAAACAAAGTGTATACATCGCGTTTCTCAAATAGATTTTGTATAAAAAACTGGGTTATAAATCAGAACACTTCATCATAAAACTTACAAAATTAGTAATAAAAATTCGATTAATAAATTTTCAACAGCAAAGAATGTAAATCATTTTTTCCAAGCTATCCATCAATTGCATGATATAGATACTGTACATAATAATTTTAAATATTAGATATTTAATCAGAAAATTATAATCTTTCCAGCCGATCATTTGCGTCCAATCAATCAGTAATTAATTAACAAAAATAAACTCAAAATTATTTTTATTATCGTAAAAACAAATATCAGTTGAAATACTGATAAAGTTGATAACAAACATTAAAAACTCCCTTTTTTAAAAATCTGTTAATCGCCGACAGTTTATCAATTGACAAACGGTAAGAAGTGTTACGAGATAATCGGTGTTATAATGAAAACCAGTTTAAATCATATAACTATGCTATCTTAATATGAACTTTATCGGAGATATTGAGAGAGTTATACGGGATGTGGAAATTCGAGCATAGCGAAACTAGCGTATCGATAATGAGACACGGAATGTGCGTTACATGATAATATAAGTATCCAACGGTTGCAAATAAATCAGAAACTATCGAGCACGGAATCGATACTCTTTTCCTTCCGGTTTGTGACACCGGAATTTTAAGTATGCGTCGCGCAATATCTCTGTGGTACAATGGCGGAAAAAGATACGATGATAACAACCGGAGCGATGTTACCGCATTTCACAAAGTCCTCTATACGTGTTTGCTCGCTCCAGTTACCCATTACCGAACTTTCACATTTCCGGTACCTCGTCGACGTCGTCGGCGACCGAAGCAATCGCAGCGAAACTCTGTCGCTTCGTCTCGAAGCGATGGTTATCGTTATCAAAGAAAGGAAGTGAGACCGGCGCGCCATTTCGAGTGCTGACGCGTTGTTAGTAAGTTACCAGACGCATGGAGTTTCGAGACAGGCGTCTACGGCGCGTTGATTTCAATCTTCCATTTGACGGATTTCCTCGGCCGAAGAACCTTTTCCCCAAAGTATTAAGATATGTGCCGAACGCAATAAGTGTCTCGATATTGATAAAAATATTTTGAATTAATTTCTTAAAATTGGAGGAATTTGAGAAATATAATAAAGTACTTATGTTGACATCAAAGCAAATTATTCTGTGTAAATCTGCGAATTCTTAATTCGGAAATAGTCACCTGGGGTACTATTCTGTACAAGTCTACGGATAGTTGTCGGTATTATGATATGCTTTGCGCTTTTTTTACCAAACAAAATATCTGCACAATACACATAATGACACCGACAACTGTCGATAGACTTGTACAAAACCCCTGGAATATTTTTACGATCCAGAAAAAATGTGATTTGTTATAAAATATTGTATGGATATTGTTTAACATTTTTTCTCTTTTAATAATTACTTTTACGAATCATTAAATATGCGATTCCATCAAAAGCCCATAATAACAAAGGTACATGAATTAAAATCTTTATTATTTTTTTAAGAAATACTGTCATAATAAGTTATTTAATGTACTTATTCCGTCTAATATTTGTTTGACTTCTACTTACTTTCTTCAGAAAATTGTGATTAAATCCATATATCCTTATTGTTTTCAAATAATAATAAATCAGAAAACAATTCATATACAATACATTATCAATAAAAATAATTTTAATTTGAATATAAACTATTATCTCAGATAATAGTTTCAAAAAATCTGGTAACTAGTTAAACCGAGGGTTAAACTCTATAACTGAATTATAAAAAGAGAACAGAATTAGGAATGCAATACAAACCAGAGTTATTTTTATATCAAACACTATTCGAAAATATAAAATTCTAAAACTTTACATATAAGAAGCATTCCAAGAGCTATCTGCAATCGATCGATGTAATATATTTTGCCGAAAGGTGCCACATCGGAATTTATTCATGACGCACTCGCAAGCTCGGCGGCACGTATGAGGATGAAGAGAGGAAGCCACTAAATTTTTCGCTTCAAACCTCTGTCTTCTCTCCCTCAACTTCCCCCTACTCCTTTCCCCTGACCATCGGCTCGTCGCCCTCGCTCTGGTTCCCTCTGATCGGAGCCGCCGCGAGATTAGAGGCTGCCAAATGAATTAAAAGCCAATTTTAATCAAAAGCGGGCACCGGCTTTTAGGCACGATTACTCCGGATAATAACTGGTAGGATGGGCCTGCACGTAAGAGGAAAAGAGCGAGAAGGAGAGAAGAATGGATCCCATATATTACTTCTACGTGCTCCTCGCGATGTAGGAACCAATTCGCCGCTCGTTACGGGTTCGCAACTACCCACATTTTTCTATCGCCTGTTGAAACAAACTATTCAAAAGGTTCTATCCCGCGATTGATCTTCAATACAACCTGAAAAATTAGCAAAACTTAAAAATTCAACTATCCTTTTGGAGAAACAGAGAAAAGAAAATTACACGCGATTACCACATAAAGAAGCAAAAAGCACCAATGTGCGGTTATTAGTTGTTGATGTTGGGCCTTGGTACAAAGGTGAGACGACGCCGACTTGGACCGAGAACCACTGGGGCGCTACAATTTCGCGGCGTCGGCGTTATGAAAGCTATAATACAACGCGCGAGGGAGAGATGGTCGGTACCGACCGTGTAAAGCGCAAGAAAAAGTCAAAAGGGAAAGGCAAGAGGCAGGAGAGAACACAGCGTATAGATGCAGCTCTCTCGTTATGAGCGCGCGCGTATAATAGCGACCCTGTCATTAACACCTAAACGCACGATTGGCCGATGCGCGAGGATCGTCCTCTCCTCGATGATGCACAGTAGACGAACACCGGTGCAAGACGGACGGGAATGCAATGCGAGGTATGCACGGGATGGATCAAAGGTGCGACAGGTGAAGTCTGGTTTATCGGGCTGACGCGGTAATCACAGCCCCCGCGACTCAAATAATTAAATTCCAGTCCGAACGATTGGTGCTGCCGGCGCAACCGATTCCCCGTAAACGTAACACGCCCCGGTTCAGATCTCTATCGCTTTCCCTCTTTCGCGACGTCGCGTCGTCGTGTCGAAATTCACGCGGATGTCAGTCCGAAAGACATTCAATTCCGAAACATCAAACGGAACGGTTCGCGAGGTGTTTGGGGAATCATGTAAGTACGGTAAGTATGTCGTGTCACGGTAATTACAAGTACGGCGTGTCACGTAGATCGCATTTGTGTTTGCTCGGTGTGCGGGTAACGAAAAGTTGATAATTATTATTTACCTTGATTGTGGATGATAGTTATTATCGCGTTATTAACTGACTCACTTGAATTATGATTTATCATTCCAGCTTGGCTCGGTTACTCCTCGCTCAGAATTCCTGATCTTCTTGTACGTCTCTAATATTACTCTAGTTAAATCGCAACTCGGCATATTAAGTATATAATTATATCGCATTTTAATGCAACGATTAAATTAATAGATGCGTTAAGCGCAAAAAGTATTACTCCATAATTACGTAATTCTTTTACCTGTTTATCTACCGGTATCGATATGTAAAACGATTCCCGGAAAATCACTATTGCGTATGAGCTCCGACATGCCTCCATACATTATACAATTCTAATTTTATTTAGTAAATTATCATGGAATTTTTACAATATAATAATGTCTACTATTTGATAGAAAACAGGCTTCAATCGCCACATCAGCAACAACTCCAAGCTCCCGAAGATATGTCGTGGCGCGTTCCACCTCGGAACCTGGTACATGGCTCCTCAAGGACTCTCTCACAGTGTCTCAATCCCCCGTACAGCAGCACACGCCGTTCCGAGTCGCGAGAGGGGCTTGAGTAATCGCCGGTCAGGAGAGGCTCGTTGTCGGCAGTTGAGTGCCGTAAGAGGTGAGAGAGCAGAGTAACAGAGGGAAAAGGTGGAGGCAAAAGCAAGAAGGCAGGAGGAGGCAAAAGGGGGCAGGAGATGAAGGAGGAGGAGGAGGAGGAGGAGGTACGCGAAGGTGATGGATCTCGGGGAGGTGCAGACGCGGCGCGCAGCGTGCGGCGCGAAAACTGGCTCCTCTGTTTGCACAAGCGAGCGCCTTCTTCCCTCCTTCCGAACCTTCCTTTCGTCCCCTACCTCCTTGGCAATCGTCTCAAGAGGAACCGCCTCGTACTCACGCCGCGTGTAGGGCGGACAGCCCGTTCGCTCGTTTCGTCCGGGATATCACGCGCAAAATTTCCGCGAACTCGCGAGTTCGCGAAAGGAACCGCCGCGAGAACGTTTCGGCAGTGAAGGGCCCTCATACGAACGAATTCGATGAAATTTTAACTATGATATGGAATTTTTCTATTATGTTAGAGGTATCTACAAAATGGCATTCTTGGTACTGGTAAAATTTGAGAATAAAACGACTATATTGTGCCGCGTGAAATAAAATAATGATTTACATTCAAATCGTTCTAAAAAATTTAATCGTTCGTTTTAATTCACGATTAAATTACGTAAAAAATAAGTGACACAAAGTTGAAGAGAGTTTTCAGTTTTCAAAATTATTTACATTAATATTACTTTATTATTAATTTCAGATCCCAAAATCTCAACTTCCGTGTTTGAAAAGATTCGACTTCGGACTGTAAAGTCGACAAATCGGCAAATTGACGGAAACGAACGAATTGCGCACAAGAAAGGCGTTTAATCATCATAATTCTGATGTCAACGATTTGCCCGATTTAAGTACATTAATCAAGGACGCGAAATGTTTGACAAATGTTTAATAAATATATCATCTTAACATCCTATCCATAAATGAGTGTTTTCATAGCGGATTTATGTGAAGGTGATAAAATGCAAGTGGAAGATAAGCGAGCACCCATGTAAATGTCCCATATATTTTGTTGAAGACTTTCAACTGCTTGAAAAATAAAACTAAATTCTCTTTTATTTTTGAATAATATCTGCTCGTAAAACTGATTCGAATAAATAGAAATGAGGCAAAATGCACTCGATGCACAACAAAACAAACGACGAGAGTGTCTAGCCGAAAACAATCAAGACAGGGTAAAATTACGTCGTAATTCATCGAGACTCCTCGGTGGTCGTCCTCCAGCTTTTACTCCTTTCGTTTCTTCTCCGACGTTTGTGCGTCCGGCAAACTGCTCACGGAAATAGGACTGCAGTTATTAGTTCGTAAAAATGGAAATTCACCCCGGAAGGCTCCGTAGAGACATTCCATAGCGAAAACGAGAGAGATAAGCTTTCCGACCGACTGAGGTCAATCGATAAGAATCGCAGTAAATTAGAGTTCTTTAATGCATCGTACTCCCGGATAAAAATCCCTTTCTTATATACAAAACTACACACTAGTGTAATAAAAATGCTAACTAAAATCGATTCAATTAACAGATTTGTTTATCTCATTCTAGTGATTCTAGATAATGTTATCATTACGCATATTTTTTTTTCATTTTGAAGATAATTAATGCAAATCGTGTAACAAACATATAAAGTATGTATGTTCAATGTTAATAATCAATTAACAATGCAATCGATAAATTTTATCAATTATGCTAATTAAGTTAAATATTTGGAAATTTTAGAGCAGCTAAGAAAAATCTTCCACAAAAAAAGAGATTTATTTTTTAATAGATCGTAAGAGAAAAAGATACAAGAACATATCTTTTTCTTAAAAGGTAACGATAAAAAACTACATAATATATAATAAACACAAAAATACTTTTTAAATTATTTCTGCAAACTTAATTTGGAAAAAATTTCGAAAAAATAACAACAAAATATTATAATAGTCACAAAATAATTATTTTTCGTTAAAAAAAAATTGTCTATCGCATATAAATTAAATTAGCAACAAGTGAGATTTAACAATTTTTGCGGTCTTACTTACGGTAGGGTGCATTGTAATCGTCGCGTCCCACTGCTTTGATCGAGCGGCCTATTACGGTAACATTGCCGCTGCTGCAAGTTGAGTAGAGACTCACGGAGCGCACCATCGCCGGCACCGCCCCGCACATCACCACCTACAATTACAAGAACCGTACGTATAGTCCAAAATTTCTTAGCTACGCGAATACAAAAATTATCACTTGCTCGTTCCAAGTTGCTTTATCAAATGTTTAAATAACCTCTTCAAACCAAGAAACACTAGAAATAAATTAATTAGCAAATGACTTATATAGACCGCGGTACTTTTAATGTGTTCCAAATCAATGGCGTATTTTACGTTTTATAAAAAAATACTAAATTTATTTTAAAAATGTTCGTTTTATGATGGAGTGTTTCTTCAAGGAATTAAATCATACTATTTATGATTATTTGATGAATTATTCAAATGCTGACAAAAATATAAGCACATCCATATACATATTAAATAAAAATAAGTTATGAAATGTACAAATATACATTATAAAGAACAAAATGAGCAACTTGGTCCAGAGTTAGAATCGCGCTTAATATTATCTGTCGTGAATTATCTGACAGTTTATCTTTCGTTGAATGTAACAACAAAGCTCTGGCGGGATAAGAATTCGCGTGACATGTTTTCAGAACAACGACCGAACTGAAAGTCGTTAAGGAACGTCGAAATTCTTCCACGGCCGCCGAGAAGAACGCTTTTACGGTCGGTTCACATATCACGACATCGAGTCATTCGCTGATCCGCCCGTGCGGATTCTTCCCGCGGTGGATGCGCGCGGATAAAAATCCGCCGTGTCAGACGAAGACGGAGAGTCGTCATGCTGGCCGCTCGGAGATGGTGCACGCTGATGGCAGAGAGCTCGTTAACGAGCGGACACGAGCCATCCATTAATAGTCGCCGAAACTGGCGTTTCGTTTATATCAAAAGTGACGCCGACAATGTTACGATAGCCGGTGCAACGCGCATTAGTCTGACAAACATCGAAATAGAAAGTTTAGTATGATCGAGCAATCACGAATGACGCATGAATGTGCATGTATAATAGACGTTAGTGAGACATTAGGAGAGTTGATGCTGTATGTGTGACGCGTTTCTCCTAAATTATAATTTCGTTCATATACTGAAAAAAAAAACTCAATCTTAATATATATTTCTTTGAACAGTACTAAGTAAACATTTACTTACAATAAATAAATATTTATTCACTAAAAAAAATCATAGTTAAATCAAATTAATGTTTTTTGTACCAATTTATACATGTTTACATTTAGTAAATATTTACTTCGAACTATTTAAATATTTTAACAAATATTTATTAAAGTTTAATATTTTTTTCGATGTATGCATAAATATCTAAACTATAAATACTGAATAAATTGATGAAATTAAATGATTGAATGAATTGCAACGTCCTTGCAATTGAATGTTAATATTTCGAAATTGATTATTCTCACATTTTTTGCACATTACGCGTCAAAATCAATGCTACATGTTTGCTTTAAAATTTATCCCAAGGAAACATCATCGTATAATAAACGTACAGTGACGAACAGATTTATGGGTGAATGTGGAGAAGAACAATTAAATTTACATTGCAGGATTTTATTGCTATTCCACGATCCTGTAACACGAGCCTTTTAATGTTGAGATGATAGAGTGTATAGAGCCCAAGAGACAAATAGAGTTGATAGTACACCATGCTTCTCTAACGATTAACATACAAAGTCAAGTAGATCACATATATACATTATAGAAACTGTTTATGACGTTGTCGCACGTAACAAACTCTGCATTGAATTCTGCGTTGCAACATCGTGTGCAGATAATCGCGTTCATCCTGCCGCGCCAATAAAAACTTAACATAGTAATTGATTCGCGTCATCACCGTGATATTTGCATTATCATTTAATCGGCAGAACTTTCAAACAATAAGGATACGAGTAAATGATGACAATTGCCAGTAAATAGCTCTTTGGAATTTTATATTGGCTCTTCATTAAATTCTCACCTAGCAGACGTATCGTTAAGGCGATAGCCTCGAATACATTCATCTCGATTTACCATGCAGTTACTTCGACCATCGACGTCTAAATTTATCGCTCGCGATTCAGTCGACTATCCATTTAATTATTTATTGGACCAGCAAACCGTTTACTGCACCGCTCAAGACCGGTATCGAGGATACATAAATCTCATTTAAATACGATTCGAGTCTCTGCGCGATGAGACTGTCGCGCGAATTGTCCTTATCATCTTGGGAAGTCGAGCATAGATCTCCATCAATTTCAAAAGCGTAAATAATGAGTGCCATGCGAGTCCAATCTCTGCGATATTCAACGATTTATATTGTATGATAGATGTTGAGTTTGAAAAACATTTTGTCAATGACAAAAATTATTTTACTATCAAATCGAGATAATCGTAATTTAATAATCTAGTTGTCCGTCAATAATCCATAATCAGTATAAATTAGTAATTGATCAAATTATTTTTGGCATTAATAGTCAAATATGGACAATCGGTTTATCATTAATAATTTTATAAATTAAGAATTGATAAGATAAAGCATCTTAAAGTAAATGTTACAACAAACATGCAGACAGTTTAGAAACGCGAGAAAGACTTGATCAAAGAAGAAAGACTCGATTTATCATGCACGCAGTTAATCAAAGCGCGATGGCAAGCTAACGGTTCCGCAATGAACGGTGTCGTGGGTACTTAAAAAAAATTCAAGCGACGTCAAAACTTATAGCGCTTTACAGCGGCGCCCACAGCGGGGAATTAAACGTACGCCGCAATGAGTTAAGGATGAGTTCAAAGCCGGCAGCCGCCTCTCGGCCATATAAATTGTCAGTGTCTGCAAACGCGTAGGAGTGGAAGCGCCGATCATTAATCTATGGCAGGTAAGGTGCGTGCCGCTGTAATCGCCGATTTACTCGAGTCTTGGCACGAGTTTCAGCACGCGATCCTCTCGGGTCCCGACCTCTTCGTGCCGGGGATATCTCAGATCTGACCTAGTCATCCTCGCGATCGCGGCCCCCATATATCTTTACATACATTGAGCGAGCTAGGAAGTAGGTGATTTTGCGGCTTCAGCGGAACTGTGGCTCACTATACGAACTCTATGCCACTCGTTACCGTTCACGAAACTAGGCCGACTAATCATCAAATTACTTTTATGCAATTGGCTCGTGCTACAAATGTCGGTCGCATTCAAAGAGATAAGATTACAAACCGATCATAACGCGATAAAACGCTGGAACTGAGCTTTCCGTACTTTTACATTTGATTTCTCGATAATCTTTATAATATAAATATTTTTAAATCTCCATAAATTACAAAACAAGATAATACTTACAATAAAAGAAGATTCCTTATATTAAAACAATTAACGAATTACAAATGGGCCTTTAGAAATCGGCGCTGTAATAATTGCGCGTTTATTTCGATTGATCTAAAACAATCCTCTATATATATAAATAATATATTTGTCGGATAATATACGCGCAATTATTACAGCGCCGATTCTTAAAGGCCCATGTGTAATTTGTTAAAACAAAATAATATTAACTAATTAACTATGAAATGTATCGTAGCCACTCATTTTCTCTAATAATCTTTTCTAATATTTATTATAACATTCTAAAAAAATATATGTATTTGTATTTCGAAATAGAGGGACACAATTTCTATAAATGTTATAAAAAGATTATATGTGGAAATACTCACCATCAGGAGGCACAAAATCTTCGCTAAAACGGCAAGCTGTGGTAACCTAGAAACAACAAAAATACACCCGTTAGTTAAAAATATCGATCGGAACACGAATGAAATATGCAATAAGTTCGTTTCATCCAATTTGCGGCGATTCTAAGCAATCATGTATGCAAATAAATTTCGTGTGATTATATAGCAAGCTCGCACACAGTGTGTACAGTCATTACTATTTCCAATCGCACAAATTGAAAATACAAGGTGTATTTGATAAGTTGTAACTGATAAGCAAACTTGTGCACGGGATAATTAGCACTAAAATGATGGTACAAATAGATTGTACCGAGTACACATAAATCATATGCTTATTAAAATCTTTAAATTATATGGTCGTTTTAAACCATAAATATCCTTAAGAACAAGAATAAATGATGATTGCGCTTTTGATAAATTCTAAAATTAGATTATAGATTTGTTTTTATAGCTAAACTAGTTTACACTCTTCATACATAGAGCGAAATAGGTATTATGTTTAATATTTTGCAAAAGCGAGAAAGAAAGTTCTAGTATAATTCAATGCAGCAATAAAAAAACAAATCTAATATCAACGAATAGGAAATAAAGGTCCTAAATCGTTATAGATCAAATCTTTATAGATCTTGATAGTGCTTAAATAATTCGGTGTGAATTTATATTTATATTATAAATCCAATCCTGCAAACTGTGCGAATTAATTCGTTAATTTTCAGTCTTGAAACGCAATTGTAACTGAACTAGAGTAATAATATCACAAACCAACATTGTTCAAGCTTTAAAATAGGATTTCAAAATATGTAAAATTATAGATTATTTCTAAAAATACAGATATACTGTTTTCAGCGGCGAAGAAATGATGCGAATCTCACGTAAAATCATCAATATTACCAATGTGTGTGGGAAAGGCTCATTGGAGAATCGTAGAATAGTGACGCGGCGCACCGTGCCGCAGGTTGTAAATGATAACCCAGTTACATACGAGCTACACGCGAGCCGCAAACAGTTGCGCAATGCAAATGCATCTCGTGTTACAGAACACAGGTGAACAGCGGTCGCGCCGCGGCCGGTACGAGCTTTCGCTACTCGTTCGCTTTAATTCGACAGCAGATTATTGGCTCGCTCGTGGTACCGCGGGGTGGACCAAACATGCCTTTCTTTCGCCTCATCCCGCCTACCTCGTCTCTCAATGCACTCGGTGCACCGCGTGGAATGCCGCTGGGCGGCCCCGATCCACTTAAAATATTCGCTTTGTCTCTGTCGAGCGAAGAAGCACGACGTCCTTCATTTCTGATCAGGTTTTCTTCGTTATCCGTCTTCTTCTCTTTGACGACATATCTTTTACAAGATCGTTGCGATTAAGTGCCAATTAGATATCTAATTTTTCGGTCAGTGCAATCTCCGTACATAGGAATTATTTCATTCACGTAGAAAATCTGCGACTGGAAGACAAGTTCACGATACAGATTTCGCCAAGGCTTTTTGCCATGCATTCATCATGCCACGCACTCCCCGCGCGATATACATCGGGTCGTAACACTCGTAACGTGGAGCGCGGTATAGTGTACGCAGTCGACTCGGGTTTCGAGGTTTAATTGCATTGGCGCGACTGCGGCAGCGGCGTGGTTACTCGAAGCACAACTGAATTTGGCATCTGCTGCCGCATGTGTAAAGAAATGATCCATATTTTATCAAACTAAAAGATTCTTTTATAAAATTAAAATTGTAATAAGCGGCTCAATTAATAAAAATTCAAACCACAGGAGCTACGAGCCAAACAGTATATTTGGAACAATGATCAATTAGCTATGCACAATGGTATAATACGTATTAAACAGTATGTTAACATTTGCGTATAATAAAATTAAAAATGATAATAGACGGCTCGAATAATAAAATTCGTAACATATAAATAGTAAATACAAGTCGAAATAAAATATTAGTCACAATATTAAAAAATTATAAACAAGAACAAGACGTTAATTTTATTATACGCAAATATTAACATGCTGTTTAATACGTAACCATTGTGAATAATTAATTGATCATTGTTACAAATATATTGTTTGGCTCGTAACTTGTGTGATTTTTGTTTGGATCTTTATAAAAATTGAACGCCTCTAAAAGAGAAGTCTATAAATGTCCACACTTTTACCAATGTAAATTAATTTTAATCTACATAAATTTGATTTAACTTACTCTTTATCTTTTTTCTTAGTACTAAAAGAAAATAAAATGTAATTGAAACCAAGATTAAAGTTAATCTACATTGGTAGAAACGGGTATAAAAGATCTGCAAGTCTAAAAGACCTATAGGATAAAAAACTAAAAGAAATGTAATCACGCAATTAATACCATACATTGCAAATCATCAACATGGTTCAACATAATAACAATTATATATAGAAATTTAAAATAACTTCCTTTGAAAATAAAAAGGTAATAATATTTATGTAATAAAAAATATTATTAATATAATATATAATTTATGTGTGTGAGAAAGAATTTATATAAATAGATCACGTTTGTGCGTTTTATCTGGCGCAGACACTCTCGCTTCTTCTGTACTGAGAGCCACTTGTAGAACGTATCGTGCCACATTCCAAAGTATCTAATTTACGTCAGCAGCGTCAATATCGATTTTTCAATTTTCACATCAGCGAAGACCACCGTCTCTAAATCAAGGTGTACGAGTATTCCACTCGCCGGGATGCCGGTTTACATAATTGCAAACTTAGTCACAACGACATCCCGCTGACAACCTCTTGCTAGCCGTTTCATTAACAGCCGTGGATCACCTCGGATGCGATAATACACACGATGTACCGCGACGAAGGTAACCGTCGGCGGTGCGGCGTCGAAAGGCGCGAAGATATATTAACATTCGGATCTCCCGAGACGTTTTACGTAAGGAGGAAAAATGTCCGTGAGATTTTTTACGTGTCATCAAAACGGAAAGAGTGCCGAGGACGAAGAATTCCAGTCTAGACTATCTCTGCACGTTTAATCGCGACCGTCGAATGATATTCTTGGTTTACCACACGAATCATTTTAATACTAGAACCGTCGATGGTGTCATTTTGGCTCCGTTAATTATTTCAATTTTTTTTTGTATTAAATATACGGTACAAAATATAAAAAATGTGTGAATATATACTACAAACAATTCTAATCATACAAATAATATCAAAATAAATCTTCATTAATGAAAAACAAGGATAGGAAATTACCAAATTGGCATTTTCGACAGTTCTAGCGATCGGTAGTTTCAATATTAAATGTCAATTTAATTATTGTCACTTTTATTTATTTCGATAATAAATCTATTTATTAATCGTACATATAGAACAAAATGTTTTGATTAAACCAACAAAAAAAAAGTCCAACCAGAATGATGTTTTACAACAATTAGAAAAGGTTACAATAACTAGAAAATAGAATTATCAGAAAGTAAATTTCAAAATGTAATTTGGCCATTCAATTGGTCTTATCAAAATGTAATTTTGGCTGTGGTCAAATTCTCGCTATAAATGCCTTGAAGCGTTTGATGAACCAATCAGAAGGAAGAATTTTACAAAATGACCAATAAAAAAACACTTTAAAGCATTTGTAACATTACGTTGACTGTATCTTTCGTCATCTGACAGTAAGAAAAAGAAAGGGACTGCTATCGCGCGTATCGATACCGATCGCGTGGAGAACAGAGGTTGGATGCATGTGCACACGCGCCACCGAACCGGACCGTGCGCGGTTGGAGGTATACACGTGGCCGCGTCACGGAATTCCGAAGAGTCGCAAAATTCCGGAACGTCGTGAAATCCGACCATGACAAATTCCAACACGCAAGAACGCGGCATGCACGCGTCACGCGCCGTGTTGGCGCACTTTGTGACGCAGCATCCAGTTAATGTTCGTCACTTACGTCTTGTACCGATATCCGTTAATAGCCAAGAATGTAAGAAAAAAAGAATACCTACTAAAGTTGTAGGAGAGATACACAAACGCACATGCTTTCTCGTCATTTTCTTTTAAAAAAAGAGTATAATAAAAACAATAAGCGTGATTTCATGAAAGATCTTAAAAATTCTAGAGTTCTTCGAATTTCTACCTCGACGCGGTGACAATGGAAAGGATTACGATCAGCGATAAAAGTAACGATTTCTCTGAGTCTCTTCGTTACCGATTCATTGGCGTAGATTGAAATCCAAAGGATGTCCCAGAGGACGACGCGAGACATGTCAACGTGGCGATGAAATCGTCGTAACTCACCCAACGATCACCGTAGACATAGCTGCGAGTCTCCGCCTCGGTGTGTCATCTCAGTCCATGCATTGTAAATCGTACGAATTACGACCGGCTAGCTGCAATAACGATTCAAGCACGTCGTTTCGCCACAAATTCTCGCGGTTTCCGTTGTAGAATAGCGTACGATCTACGATGGGTATACGTTTACGTGACAGGACACGTTTGACAGGTCGATGACACTTCGTGCGGCTTGGTTCGATTGCACTTCTGTCCCGATCAAACGCGAACAGTCCAGTTTCGAAACCGGCGTGATGCGATCACTGTATTACATCATCGGAATTCAGTCAAGAAAATCGTGCCGATTACGTCGCCACGATGCATCGCACTCGCAGCCGCGCGAGATCGATTGTGTGGAAAAACCTACGACCGAGCCGAGCCTTTATACTTTTTAAGCATTACGTGCAGGTGATGAATTCCCGTCGCACGCCTATCAAAACATAGTCCGTGTGGACTTTTAAGTCGAAGATTAGCCTGGATTACGTTGATATCTACATTAATCGTAACGCTGACGTAACACCTGAAGTTCCCAGCAGTCACAAGAATGGTGATTCCCCAGTAAACAGATCTTTATCAACCAGACATTGTTACAACGGCGAATTATCGTTCGCATCGTCATTAAATCTCCCGACAGAAGCACCGAATTTTAATGGTAGCACATTGGTCTATCGTGTTGACAGGATATCAATTCGTCCGCACAAACCGCGAATGAAAGGTTAAATCACT